TCTTTTGAAAAGTATCTGTTTTGGACAGCATATATCAAGATAGAGTTTAAGATAGTCAGTCAAGTTGGGAATAGTATCATCCAGTTTGTGTTCGTTGAAAAGTTCCCAGTTAGTGTCATTTAGCATACATCTTAGTTTGAGCATAAAGGCGAATTCAGTGAATGAACGACACTAACTGGGAACTTTTCAACGAACAGAAACTGGATGATACTATTTCCAACTTGACTGACTATCTTAAACTCTATCTTGATATATGCTGTCCAAAACAGATACTTTTCAAAAGAGTGGATCGTTTTTCTTCCCCTCATCTCAAAAATCTTCGTGGAGAAAAAGAGAAGCTGTACAAGACAAAGAATAAATCTGGTCTTAAGAAGATAAACATCCAAATTAAATCTGAAATCAAGAGACTAAACAACATTTATAATCAAACAATACTATCTTGTAAAACCTCAGGAAACATATGGAAGCTTTTTAGAGAAATTACTGGTTGTGGTAAGCATAATAATTTTGCCTCTTCTATTGATGTAAATACTCTCAATGGATCTTTCATCCGCCCTCCAAATGTCCCTTCTGCCTTCACTCTAACTAATAACACGACCAGTGACTTTCATAGTTTCAATACTTCTGATGTTCTTAAATGTTTGAAATCTCTTAAACCTTCCCAGAGTCTAGGCCCTGATGGCATACCTGCCATTGTTTTAAAGAAATGTGATGATATTTTAAGTAACCCACTTACAAGCATTTTCAATACTTCTTTTTCTAATAATAATGTACCTTCTCTGTGGAAAGATATTAAAATCACCCCTGTACCCAAGTCGGGTTCTGGAGATAGTGTCAAGTTTAGACCAATTGCCATTACCTCTCCTTTTTTGAAACTGATGGAGAAATTACTGTTACAAAAACTCATTCCCTCCCTAAGCTTCTCAAACGATCCAAAGCAGTTTGCTTACAAACAGGGTAGAAGTACTTTGGATGCTGCTGCTGTGTTTCATCACAACATTGTATCCTCCTTAGACAAAGGGGCCAAGTATGTCCGTTGTACTTTCCTTGATTACACATCTGCTTTTGACTCTGCACCTAGAGGCCTTTTGTTAAACAAGCTTGGCCTTACACAAACTGAGTCCTGGGCTATCAACTGGCTGCACTCTTACTTCTCCAATAGGATGCAGTACACGGTATATAGTGGTGTAGCTTACTCTCCTTTGCTTACTGAAGCTGGTGTTCCTTAGGGTGCTGTTCTCTCGCCGTTTCTCTTTTCCTTCTTCTTACATGACTTACCTCTCTCAGACGAAATCAACTTCGTCAAATATGCAGATGACCTGACTGTTTCGCTTCCCGTTAAGTCTCAGTCAGACTGCTTCAAATTAAATAGCTTCCTGTCGGACATCAGTCAGTGGTCTAAACTAAATGGACTCATGCTGAATCCCTCAAAATGCCAGACTGTCGACTTCTCCTTTAGGCATAAACGACATCTACAAACCCTAGTAAGCACTCATGATGCCTGTAGAATTGAGGGGACTATAATTGAAACAAAGTCTAATGCAAAATACCTCGGATTAGTTATATCTTCCGACCTTACCTGGTCATCTCATATCCAAATGATTTCCAAGAAAGTGTTTCGTCTAACCTACTACATTAAGAAACTCTGACAGTATTGGGTACTGTTAACACTGGATCAGGCGATTAAGCAAATTGAGTTCATCATTACACCATATTTGGTGTTGGCCGCCGATCTACGTGCTTTATGGTTGGCTAGATATGTCGTATTTACATTGATCTCGCTAAGTGACCAGTTGTTTAGTGGTACGTGTGTCACACTGAAAAATCTGCGAAAATTAATTGAACAAACACCACGTTCTACACTCCGTCGATCCCAAGTATTGCATTCATCGCGAAGAACACCATTTCAACAACAAAGACAACAGCAGTATCATCAATCATTGACCAGTTGTATTGATAGTAGTAGTGAAGTACCGAAATCCTTGACTATATTCCAACCAAACACTCATCCAGGAAGATATAGTATTACAAAAAAAACAAGAAATAAAAAAGGATGGAGGGCGGCGCCAGCTGACCAGTAGATGTGGTGGTGATCACTAAGGCGAGTCACCCCACTATGCAGGAACAGCAATATGCAATTTGACGAATCGAGATTTTTCTGAGGGCTTAGATCTTTATCTTGAAAAAGATAATGATGAACGCCTAGACAGATCATGCTTCTGCCTTTAAACATATACCATTCGCTCAGCCTATTGTTGAGATATGACCACGTGGGCTCTGCACAGATTTATGGGGCATCTTATAAATTAACTTGCTATTCATTGTCGGATCTTTAAATACCACTTCACACTGTCTTATCTCATTCATTTTCTAGTAACGTCTTTACTTGATCCTCATTACATTCCACTAAACCTAACATTTTGTAGCTCTTTATGAATTCGATTCGACTTATTCTATTCCTATTCTTTGGAGGGTACGGTTGTGCACCTAATAGACAAGAAGGTATGAAGAAAAAAAGTAACTGGCTTGAGAATAATCGTGGTAAAGCCAAAAGTGGACATTCTGATAGTAAGACATATATGGGTAGCAATATACATTGCAAATGAACGTTGTCAGCCTAAGAATTATGTGCTTTCCCATTGTATTTCCTGTATAAATGCATTTATTAATGAAATATTGCACCCACTTTTTTCATTACACTTTAATGATTCACCTTAGCACTTTTACTTTTCTGAAATATCTTTCAATCCCTTGTAAACGTTGAACTTACTTCAATATTGGTTGGTTGTCGTATGCCTACAACCACGGGTTGAAAACGAAGTCGATGAGGGAAATTCCGACAGTCTACAACTTTTCATGAAAATGTAAGTTCCGACTTTGTTGCAATTGTAAGTATTCATGCAATCTATATTATTTTACTCGTTTCATTTAATAATGTGGTCTCATTTACACCTTGTGTACGTCACGGTTAGGGTGGGTAGTTATACGCATGAAATCTAAAATACTCAACAATGTTAGGCAACTGGAATTCAGTAACATCAACAACAGGTTCAAGTTGACACTTAGATAACTCCTTGTGAAACTGCTGTTGGAGATTAGTTTTTCTGGTCTATATTCTTCAATATTTTTAGATTTCTGAAAGGATTGACCTTTTTTACACAAGAAGTAACATATCTCCGCCATTTCTGTCATCAATTCGGCGGCTTTCTCTTTCATCGATATCGGCTTGACGTAGTGGTGTATTAACCAGATTGATAAAAGTAACTTTCTCAGAATTATGTGTAAGTTGAGATGGTAGTCCATTAGTTAGCTTAGTCAATTAAATGTGTATGGGGTGTTTAGTTAGAAAAAATGTGATGAAGTGTGAATGAACTATTGGGTGATATGGTGTTGTTTTATAGTTAACAGAATACAAATGTCATTGGGATGAGAGAAATGCGATAACCACAAAATATACATACAAACACACATTAACAAAGGGAGCACTGGATGTCAGGGCTGACCGATAATGTCTAATGATAAAATAAAAGGCTAAATTGTAAAAAGATGTTACACAATTGGTAGGCTTAGTATAAAATCATAAAGGTTGACGAAAATTAAGGGTAACAATCAGGTGAAATAAACTGGGTGGAGAAATGGATAATAAAGACATGATATCGCAAAATAATAATAATGATAATAATAACAGTACGAAAAATACCTATACATACCGCTCATACCTATACAACATAAGCGCAACCTAATTCGTTGTCTTGGTCATAGAATTAGACGCATGTGTACCGAGGATTGTATTGAAGATGAAATAAGAAATCTTACAAACCCCTTGCTACAAAATGACTATCCTACCAACTTTGTAAAGAAGTACATCTACGAAACTACACATAAAACCAAGCGAGACACAGTGAGTAAGAAAAAGCTTTACTTGAATGTACAATTCAAAGGCGATATAGCCAGCGATATATTAAACCGTAGATTAACAAGATCAATTGAAAGAACTTTTAATGCCGCAAAATTGCATGTCAGTTTCTCAACCAAACCGACAATGACATTGTGCATTAAGGATAGATTACCAAAAATGGCGACGTCTATGTGTGTATATACATTCAACTGCTTCTGTTGAGCTAGTTATATAGGTCGTACCCAAAGCAATTTATCTTTACACACTCGTCAACATATTCCTGTTTGGCTTGGGAAAAGAGCAACCAAATCATTAAATAGTGCAATTTCGTCTCATCTAATGGATAGCGAACACAGCATCAGAGTAGATAAGTCATTTACAATTGTTTATCGAGTACCGAACAATCTCCCCAAAGGCACACGATTACGCCTCCTAGCCATAGCTGAGGCTTTAGAGATTAATAGAGAGAGACCCGACTTATGTGTACAGAAAAAACTTATTCACTCTCTTTGTCTATCCTGCCCCACTACAAGGTCATCATAATTTTTCGTATGGCGACTTGAACTGCCGCACATCGGTGCAAAGTTCTATGTCGGAAGCAGACAGACAGACAGATTCTTGTACTGACTGCTTACCTGAACGGTCGTGTCTGATTCCGGCTGGTTCACAATTTTGGCTTTAACGTTACTCCGCTCTGATAGCGGTACCTTGCTTTTTGTTAAGCGTTGTGCTTTGTACTCTTGAAACCGTTAGGGTTTGTTGTACATATATAATTATTGATTTGTTTATTAATAGTACCGTAGAAACAGTGACCGGCTTCTTGTTTGTTCTGGATCGAGATAGCCTTTATATACGCGTGACTTAATTTCAAGCGATATTGCGCTTACACCCATACTTTGAACAACCTCCATGTCTGATGCATCACATTTAGGTGCAAGATCATCATTATTTTTAATATCTAATGTATTTTCAATAATAATAATAATGTATATTCTCATATAAACATATAAATTTACATGAAAATGCATGCCATGTTTACAGGCACGTTCAAGTAAAATAATCATCATATCATCCTCTGGATTAATACAGTCTGGCGATAACTTCATGCTAACTTGACTACACCTTCATGGCCGCCTTCAATCTCCATATCTTTATCATCTGTTGTGTTGATCATCTCACTACTATCAGTTGGTATTCGATCAACTATCTGACAAGAAGTATGCTTGACTGCTTCCATTGAAACATCATGAATAGATGTTGTAACACCTTCAATATTGTTATCATCCTTACGAGTATTACTTGTTGTTACTGATATATACACTGGTGGCTCATCAATATTGATTTTTCGCACCTGCATGATTATTGATTGTTAATATTTTTGTTTAATGTGACATTGATTTTCCTAACTGCATAAATACGGAGTTTGGTTTAACATTTTCGACTGTTGTAGAGACAGTAAAAGCTTTCGTATCAACGTCCAGTCTTCTTTCTTTGTCTTGCATGCCCGGCGGTATTATTGTTCTTGTTGTTTTTGACGTGCGATTAGGACAGATTAGCTGACGCAATAAGTTAGATTCGCTCGTAGTCTACAAGGTCATAATATTCCTCATACATAACAGTTACTTCAAAATCATCCTCAACCATAGATATGTCTGAAATGATACGATTTTTGACACATTTCCGATTCCCCCTCACTATCATGATTCCAAATATGTATGTACACTGAGAAAATAAGACTCTTCTATTCAGTTTGTTTAGTTGATCCAGTAGCCTCCGCTGTACTATCATTAACTAGATCAAATGACATCTTCAAAGACGACCTCCGCATTTTCCGGTTTTCTGGAAATAATCATGCAATAAATCACAAGAGTAAAACCGTGATCAGTGAAGACTATGAATTCACGAGCCTCTACTGAACGTCGAAAATGACGTATGGCACAGTACATAGCCAGAAGTTTTCTGTCAAACGTGCTGTACTTCGTTTCAGCTAATTGAAGGCGCCTGGAGAAAAAGGCGATTGGTTGTCACTCTTTGTTAACTAGCTGTTGTAGAACTGCGCTGATTGCAGTGTTTGATGCATCAACCGAGATACTTAACGGTGACGTTGGATCCTGATGCATCAGAAGCTTGGCATCCGCAACAGCTTTTTTAACCTGGGTAAAAGCATTTCGAGCAGACGGGTCAAGTTCGAAGAAGGTCTGTCAATGGCTGAATAAGAGAGGCACAGTTGGGAATAAACTGTCGGTAATAACTTACCAAGCCGTTAAAAGTGTGGAGACTTTTCACCGTCTGTGGCTCTGGAAAGTTCAGTATAGCCTCGACTTTAGTAGCCAGTGGGCGAATGCCCTTGACGTCAATAGTGTGACCCAGGAAGTCGAGTGAGTCAACGCCTATCTGACACTTGAATAATGATGGTAACACCATGTTGGCGTAACCTGTCAAATGCCAAGTCCAAGTGTCTAAGTGAGTTTCCTTGTCTGGATTGGCAATGAGGCAGTCGTCTAAGTATGCGTATACAAAGTCGAGACCGCGAAATACTTCATCGATGAAGCGTTGGAATGTTTGGGCTGCATTCCGGAGACCGAATGGCATACGTAGAAATTCAAAAAGTCCGAAAGGCGTAATAATAGCCGTTTTCGGGATACCTTCTGTTGCCATCGGGATTTTGTTATACGCTTTAACCAAGTCGATTTTAGAGAATATAGCCGCGCCAGATAGTGTTGCCATTAGGTCGTGTATATGAGGCAACGGGTAGCAATCACGGGTTGTCTTGGCATTCACTTGCCGGTAATTACCGGTGGGTCGCCAATCATTGCTATCCTTTCTCGGTACCATATGCAGTGGGGATGCCCATGGGCTATTCGAAGGTCGAAAGATGCCAAGGGTGAGCATATGGCGGGACTCATTCCTAGCGACTCTCAGTTTGTCAGGAGCCAGTCGTCGTGCTTTAGATGTCACGGGTTGTCCTGAGGTTATGATGTGGTGCATAACATTGCTGGTTATGCACGGTAGGTCGTTAGACGGGCAATTAATTTCCGGATATTTATCAACGATCGATTGAAAAGTTGGATCAAGGATTGCCTTTATCCTAACGAGTGACGAGCTGGGGCCTATGTAGGTGATGCCTTTGATACACAGACTGTCAGCATTGTCAATCAGTCGTTTTCGGCGGACGTCTACGAGTAAATCATGATGATTAAGTAGGTCCGTGCCAATGATGGGCATTGTGACGTCAGAGAGAAGGAAAATCCATTGAATAGGTTTGCGTAAACCTACGCTCAGATAGACGTATTTCCTACCAAAAGTTGCAATTGGTTTTCCATTCGCAGCCTGTAAGTTGAAGGTAGGTTCCTTCCGTCGATCTGCAGCTGTAGCAGGAAAGACGCTGAATTCGGCGCTTGTGTCGACTAAATATCGAGTCTGGCTGATCACATCATGAATGTAAAGTAGGCGGCTAGTGCCACCGGCGACGGTTGCCGCTAACGCGTGCCGGCGGGATAGTTTCCCACAGACTTTGAGACATTGCCGAAGTTACAAGGCTTACGGCAACATTTCGCTTCCTTGCCATATATGTTGTGGTACCAGCACCAGTCGGGGTTTTTCAGTGAACGTGGCTTGGACTTAGGTCGATCACATGAGTTTCACCGCTGAGGGGAGTTCGAACGATGGTAGAAGGAATTGCAAGGCATGTTTGACCTAAGCATCCGCTGGATGGAGTTGCATAACTCTATCACTTCAGTATCTTCACTCCAAGTCTGTTTGGCCACTGAGCATATTTCAGGAACTGACCGTTTAGTTCTAGAATTTTGTATGCAGAAACAGCTAAGTCATCCATAAGAACACCCTGAAGTGTCACAAGTACAGTCTGCACGGACTGTGGGAGCTTGGCTAACAAGAGTTCTCTGAAAAGTCCTTCATCGAACTGAATTCGGCCAATAACCTCTCTCATTCTTGTTAGCGTGCTTACGGCTGACTGATCCCCTAACTCGATGTTACGAAATAATTCGTCCAGACGTTGTCGATCCGTGAGAATGTAGCTCCTGAGGAGGGATGCTTTGAGCAACTCGTACGAGTTACCTACCTCGGGACTCGACATCTGCACAGTTACGCACTTGCTGGATTCCCGCGGTAGGGCGTGAATAACTGCAAGGAACTGTGAACATTGATCGGTTATCCCATGTTCACAAAAATCAGACTCAGCCATCTGAAACCACGTTTCAGCATTATCTGGCCAGTACGGTACGAGCTGAATGATTTTAGGAGTTGAGCGAATACGAATGACCTTGGGACTAGGATCACTCATGACTAAACGTATGCCAATTACAATATAATACAAAAACAAATACAAAAAGGAACAAACTCACCGGGTTTATCTGCGTATTTGTCGAAGATGAAGTTCGCGGTTGGGTTCACCAGTTTAGAGGTTGACGGTATAGACGTTCGCGAACAGTACGGAGTATATTAACGCAAGATTTTATACCAATATCTTCTATGTTATTCGTTTCTCGTGTAGCAAAGGCAAAGCAGAAGACCACAATTGATTGTCCAAACTACGAGATGTATTTCGGAACCAAATCGCGGAATGAAGCGGGAGCTAAGCTGGCTAGTTATCGTGCACGGAAGTGACACGACGGAGTACGAAATGGCGGGGATGCTTGACCGGAAGCCTTCAGCTAAACGACTAAAGTCGACTTAAACTCTAAGCGTCAGCATCCAATGTTCACTGATGATTCCTATGGTCACGATGTAATTCTCCTTCTGTTAGACATAATCTATTCCTATGGTCAATAATTTGGGGGAATTATTTACCGCTACATGCTTGATGTATTTTCCCAATAAATTTCCAAAAGTCCAACCAGTTTTTTAAAAGTGCTATCCAAATTTATTAAAAGAACCAGGAGTTCGTATATTCGCTAATATTAATGCATTCACGCGCTGCAAATCTTTCGTCCATATTTCTGTATTAATAATAATCATATATACTTTTAAAACAATTAGTCCTTTTGATAAATTTGAACAAGGCATTAAGAAGACAAATTTCGCGAGATGATATCTTCATTTCGTAGTTTCTTTACAACCGCTTTACAACTAACATGGTTAACAATGATAAAATAAAGTTCATGAAAATTACTCAGTTAAATAAAAACAGAAGTACATACGTACTAATGATCAATCATATTTAGACAGGTCATGTAGTCCAGGGTAGGCGAAGATTGAAGTCCATCGATTTTTGTACACACAGTTTAGGCTGTATATGATTAATCCCCAAAAGTGCTTCCATCATCTTCAATAACCAACCTTGAATTAGAGTTATGTGATGAAATAATTGCGAAGCAGTCATTAATATTGATTTTGTGACCAGACATTAATAAGTGTTTTGCAATGGATGGCTATGCTGGATTTCTATTAAGATTAATCGCGTTAGGATTTTCGATATGATTTAGTAGCCATTTTGGAACATGTTATTTTCGATGATGACATTGGAACATTCTCTTAGTTCTACCTATATAGGTGTCCCCGCAGCTGTAGGTGAACTTGTAGATACAGTTTGAAGTAGAGTCCACAGAATTTCGTCCTTTAATCGTAGGTAGGTACAGGGATCGAAAATGTTCCGTAAGTGAGAAAAAGAGATGCGATGGCTTAGAATGTGCGTTTGACGGCTGACCGAGGTCTTTGAGTTGTCTTTTGACAATGTTAGGAGAAATAAACTGGGGCAATGCATTTCCTCTGTAACGTAGAGACGGGAAGAAAATATGTGACTGGAATACGTTGTCTAAAAAATGAATTGTGTGAAGTGATATTGTGGTGAGAGTAGGTTGCTAGCCAATTGGTAGGCATTAATTTACGTCAATGTCTAGGTCACTAATATTGGCCTTGAGAAAATATGAACAAGACTGATTCAACAACCAACCACAGCAGACTTGACGTGGGCAAATAAGATTCGCAGACGTATGACCTAACTTTCCGAGAAACCAGAAACGACCAATCAGAAGACTGTGTTTGTCTGATTGAATAAGCTATAATAATGTACATGAAATATATATTAATACGTGCTGAATTCCGTAATAAAACGATCTGTTGCCGGCCCTTGTCTTCTGTTGTTACAATGTAATGTCACTTAAGTAACTCTAGGGTGCAGACGGTGATCTAATCCAATCTTTATTTCCGTGACATCAGACCGGGGACAGTTATCAAAATTGGAATAACAACACATCACCATCAATACGTGATGTGCATTTTGGGATAAATGTTACTGGATAGATAAATATGCTTCGTTACTTAGAGAAATTACACAGCACTGATTCGAATGGTGTGGATTCTTGACAGTATTTTCAGATTACGCAGTTCACCAAGTACCAAGTTCACAGAGTATCAAGGTTCCAGTCAAAGATTAGCAGATACATGAACTAAACACAATATACTGACTCGCTATTACTAATGCTATGACTTCGAGTGATGTGATGACTGAGACAGACATGACTACGGTTGAAGAATGAGAGTTACCTTGCATTCGATGATATCATCTTCCCCGCAATTCGAAAACTTGGCAGCCAGATTTTTCAACCAGTGGCGCTGAAAATACCTCCTGATATGTGCTGTTGCCGTGTTGTTTTTCTCATGTCCACTTCCTCAGAAATTCGTGCTGTGGAAATTGGTACATGCTCTGTTCTACCGACAGTTGATTATTGCACCCAGCGAAGCGTGCTGATTAAATTCTACAGGCTGCTGAAAATGCCTTTAACAAATTACGCAATAAATGTCTAGTGAATATGGAGCCACTAACCTGGTATTAGTGCTGAGTATTCTGATCCTGTTCCTTCTGTTGAGTGCGATAAACTATCTGTCTGGATTCAACATAGAACTTGCACCGAAGTGCACCAGTTCAAGTTGCCGCGTTCCAAATAGCACACAGAGGTAGACAAGAAGATGATTGAAGAGAATCAATAGAGTTTGACAAATATAAGAGTGAAACAGAATGGGTAATGGTAGAAAGGAATATGAAAGATTACAGAGACTGAATACATCTGCGCTGGCCATTGACAACGATCACTTTGAGCCATGTCACCTATTGTCTCCAGCCATTGATTCCTAGAGTCAGTCCCGAGGGCCCCAACCCGGAAGTCTGCATCTCCCTACCTGACTCAGTTTAACTGTCAAGGATTTCATGGATTGATGAGGCCATGTTCTTGTTTGGCCACCACTGGCTCTTTTCCAACCTGAACCTATATCAGCTAGCAAAGCCCGTCGGGGGAGGCGGTGGTTAGGCATGCGCAGCACGTGACCTAGGCATCTTAGTCTATGTAACTTTATAGCCTCGTCGATTGATTTTCCCTCTTTGCCCTCTTTGCGATAAACTACCACACTGAGATTAATAAATGCTTGTCTTTCTTTTCCGATCCTAGACAGACGGCTTTGAATTAATCCGTTCTGCCTGTAGTCGAAATGATAGTACCTAGATGAGTGAAAGTATTGATTCACTTCAAATCCCCCTTGCTGATGATCACTGGTGTTCGTTTTCGTGTTCCTTTTCGGTACCTTAATCACCTATTTCCTCTCCATGGTCTCTTGAAGTCCCGTCTGTTTAGTTTCATCTGCCTTGTTGGCTTTCACCACCGGATCTTCGATTAAGTGTCACATTACACATGGACCCTCCGCGAAACCCGAATCCTCTAAAGTCATCTTCTCAGCCCGACGCTTTCTTGTGTTCAGGCTCCCCAAAGTATTTCGCACGATCTACTCCGCCACAATGAGGAATATAATCACAGTGATAACAGACGGCCTGAGTGAATATCAGCAGTGGTAATTCTAATTTACGCTGGCTTTTATTTATTTCGGAAATCAGCCTGTCCTGTGCAGAATTTTGCATCCAGAGCATCTCTTAGTCCCTGTAGGATGAAGGGGAGTAAACGTTTGCCTGGATGGACAGGCGTACGATCCCGTGCCATTTCTAGCATGGGCTTGGGTCGCTCTAATTTGAAGGTTTGATGATGTAGTCGTTTCCCAAAATCAATCGGTCACTTTACTTCCTTGCAAACCTCCAGTAGTAGTGGTACGAGAATGCCTGAGATACGATTTGTTGGTCGCTTTTCAGTGCTTTTGGGAAGTTCCGTTCTACTCTGTTGTTTTTCTGGATTCCGGTGACTTTATGGCATCCAAAACTTATGTCTTCACTGGAGAATTGGTGTCCACTGGCAGATCTGTGTCTGCTGGTTCCAACTGTGTCCCTCTGAAAATAGGCCTAGTAATTTGACACAGTGTCCTGAGGTCCCTCTCCACAACTGCCATTCTTTTTCAGACACCAGTGTGTCTTCTTCACTTCTTTGTTCAATGCTTTGTACACTGGACTCATCTTCTTTTCGTCATCAGACTCCGCATTGGTTCATCTTCTCTTTTGCCAAACCCCCTTCACCGTTAGTATCCACGCATTTCCAGAGGGCCATTCCTTGAATTGCTTTTTATTTCTTCCTCAGACGACTATGCAGGTTTCCTTAAACATCACTTTCAGAGGGATTCAGTGTTCCTTCATGCAGGTTTCCACAGAGATGCTGAATAATGTCTCCGAAATTTTCTGATGACTTCGACAAATGTCCCCAGTAACTTCGTTAAACAAGTTTTTGAGTGCTGAGCCTGAACTCTTGCCTACTTCCAGCTTCTCGGAGAGCTTCCATTTTAACCTTTAAGGTTCCTTTCGTTGAATAATGGTCTGAGTCCGAATCTTCCACTCTTCTCGACTTTGCGTCCAGCAGGCTGTCTCCATTTCCTCGAGAATGAGATGAAGCACATCTGTTGAGCGCCATGTTGCCTTGGGTACATCTATGTTTTTGTGTCTTTTGCCTACAGTCACCGAAATAGTGAAGATGTATGAGTCTTTGGCGTTCCTGTTAATTTTTCTGTGGTCCTTCGGACCCATGATAATTTCCTCCCCTGAACCCTCTGACCCTAGCTGGGCAACCATAATACCCATTAGAATTCGGTGTCGCAATTCAAGGCTTTGTCCACTTATGTTTACAGTCATTTGCGAATTTCCCGTTTTCTCTACTGGATAATTAATTGTAAGTTTCCCTCATTTTATGTTGAATCTTGAAGTTATTATCCTGGAAAAGGTTGGTTCCCTTGGCATATGAGTCTGATGCTGCTGTTGGTCACGAAATGATGATATTCATGTCTCCATTATGCTCGTGATTTTCGTTGATTATTGAATTTGTAACTAACGATTTGGAGAGTCGACTTCCACTCCATCTGATTTCACAGCGCTTCTATACTGTCTCTTCTATTCCAATCACTATCTGTACAGTCCTAATAAATCTGTTAATTTAGGAGATAATAAACGTATCCTGGTGGTTGTATTTATAATCTCAAAACACAAATGAGTGCAATCAAATTACTTTCTAAGCCACGTAGGAAGGTGTATACTTCCAGGCTGGGGTCCTCGGGACGGTAACAATCAATGGTTGGAAACAATTGGTGACATGGCTCAAATTGATCGTTCTCAATGACTGGCTGGTGGAGATGCATCCACTCCTTGTGACTTATAATCTCCAATGAAACTGTTTTGTTCTTCGTTATTACTCTCCTTTGTCTCACACCTCTGCTCACTGTCTCTATTATGCTTTTCTTGTACTTTCTTCTCTTGCTTCGCGTGCTACACGGAGTGTGGCGACTTGAACTTCCGCACATTTGTGCAAAGTTCTATGTCGAAAACAGACAGACACAGAATCAAATTACAATCTAATAAAATTAAAGGATAAAACCGACGATTATAAAACATAGATGAGAAGTACATAATTACCATCAAATGAAATTAAGAGATATTACTGATTGTAAAATATAAATGAATAAAATCAAATTACAATCAAATGAAAATTAGAGGGTAAAATTGATGGTTGAGATAGGTAAAAGTAAGAAATACAGTCCAAGGTCAGAAATTATGGAGGGGTGAACACAATTAAAATTGTAGTTATTTGAAATTAATGTAGTCTTTATATAATTAGTGTTATTAATTCAAAGTTACATCAGGTAATTATATTATCGAGTCAGGGTCGTGGTGACGATGATTGCGGTTATCGATACTCCGCCGAGTATGATGTGACGTGTATTTGTTATCACTTATTTGTTGCAACCGTCGTGAATGAGTTTCCTGATATCTGTGTGAAATAATCCCTGGTCTAACAGTAGGAGGTACAGTATGAACATTATCTACTGGGTCATCATCGCTCATTATGTCATCGTCAAAGTCAGAAACAAGGTGTGCAGATCAATGACGGCGTGCAAAGTGCGATCGGGAATGTTGGTGACGTGAAAGTGTTGGCTCTCCAACAAGGTTGTACATTGCATTCTTCATATCGTCAGCATCATCTACATCCATCTCATTTAATATTTCATCCTCTTCATCTTCATCATCCTGTAGAACATCTGCGGCAGCAGCCGTAGCAGCTGCTACTCCAACTGCTCCAATACCCTTACCACCTAGACTTTCAGGACCAATTGACCCCTCACTATGTGTCAAACCTTGTTCATTATCGTCGATCGCACCCGGGGTGTGGATGCCATTCGATGGATGTATATGAACTTTGATAGACGCTTCCACCACACGATCAATAAGGCGTCCAAATTCTTCCAGAAGTATTCGCTCATTTGCCGCTGGAGGTACATCACGACGATCTATTTAGTCAGCCTGGGCCATTATACAAGTAGCTGTTGCCTTAATCCCTTCCCAAGTGAAGAATACGTACAGCAACGTTTCCGATACAGGTTTTAGTATTTTTTTTGAAGGAAGAAGGCTGTCTTGACTTCAAGACTCCCATTGCAGCCAAACGCATAAGGGAGCGCCTCTCTACTCTATCCTCCGTATTGCGACAACCTTGACAGCGACACAGGTCTGAACAGCTTATCTTTGCTTCACAACATTCACAATAGTTTTTCAAACAACCTGAACGCTTGCAAAAACTATTGTGAATGTTATGAAGCAAAGATAAGCTGCTCAGACCTGTGTCGCTGTCAAGGTTGTCGCAATACGGAGGATAGAGTAGAGAGGCGCTCCCTTATGCGTTTGGCTGCAATGGGAGTCTTGAAGTCAAGACAGCCTTCTTCCTTCAAAAAAAATACTTACTAAAACCTGTATCGGAAACGTTGCCGCACGTATTCTTGACTTGGGAAGTGTTTGATCTGGAGAGTCCACTTCCACTCCATCTGATTTCACAGCACTTCTATACTGTCTCTTCTATTCCAATCACTACCTGTACAGTGCTAATAAGTCTGTTAATTTAAGAAATAATAAACGTATCCTGGTGGTTGTATTTATAATCTCACTGACCCACGTGATGATAATTTTAAGCTCCTACAAGCTCCGTTTATGATTTCATATAGAATAGTTCATCATTATTCTGGTCCCCAGCTGCGTATGGGTGTACGTCTGTGGCAAAGTGGTAAAATGCTCACCGACCACACACACGTGGTTCGGGGTTCGATCCCTGCCCACCAACGCGCTCCTTTACCTTGATAAGCCAGTAATAAATAAAGCTGGTAAAGAGGGAAGGAAGGTTGGGCATGAGACTAGTAACCTCATCCTGTAAAAATAAATACCAACAACTGCTAACGAAACTTCAAGCTGGCTCTAGCTTGAGCGTGGCCTGTGTTCCACTAGTAACGTGTAAAAGAATAACAAAATACCAGCGTATAGATTGAAAATTACCCGTTGCTATAACAATATTTCTTTGTACGTCTAACTGGACACTTACCATTGTGATGAGTCACTGGCAGTTAATATTCATAAAAAAAATTGTCGTCAGTGAACTAACTATGTAACTAACGTTTTACGGGTCGATTTTATCACTTTACGAAAACCTACCATACCTATCTATCACCAGTAACTCAAGCATTAAATATGATACGCACTTTAGTTCACTTTCTTTAGGTGACAATACTAAGCATTATACTATATAATACTGCTTCCGTCTGTTTAAAGTGAACTTACAGATATGTAAAGACAGAAGACAAGGGTCAGGAAACAAACACATCGTTTATTGAGGAAATCAACAGATATTTATAGATTTTTATGTACATTATGATTAGCGTTATTGTTAGCAGAGAGGTAACGTCTTCTGATTGAATGTTTTCTTGCCGAAAGTTTATTCTGTCATCCATCTCTTTGTGGCTATTTCTCAGAAAGTCAAGCCATATATCTGCGAATCGTATCTAAACACACACACACACGCCAAGTTTGGTTTTCTGTGATTGGTTGTTAAGTTCCTCAACAAGGCTAAGCTTTGTTACTGTTTTTTATCATGACCCCGATTCACGGCGTAAACATTGATGTCTACAATTTCGTCAAGCAGACAGCTCTCACCAATGATATAATGCCATTAGCTTGCCTTCCATAATTTAGATAGCATTATTAGAAGACGGAGATTATCTGAAAAATGTGAAACTTGAGTTTTATAGTTTTCTTTGTTCTCTCCCATTGGTTGTCGTAGGGGTAGTAGAATTTTCCAGATGTCTGGATGGACAAGTGTTGAATCATTTCTATTGGAGGCACGTGTTTGCAGTTGATTCGATTAACAAAGCTTCTGTTATCTATCTCTCCCTCCATTCACCCTGTGACGTTAGATTTTAAAACTGTCATCTTATCCCATCCTATTGTGTGGTTGTGTGTAATTGCATGTAGTGCTATAGCTGAACTATTGCCCCAGATTTCTCACCTCATTCGAGTCAACTAGTCCAGATTTTGCTGCTTGGTTTTTATATGCTAGGTTAGTCTGACTAACTGAGACCTGTTCTACTACTTTGACCTAAATATTGGACCTGACAATCATTGCAGGCAGGGTATTAGATAAACTAAACTGTTTTATTTTAAAGGCTCCACACGATTGATCCTGTAACCGACAAAGCTTGTTTCTAATTCAGTTTGTGTTTGGTTTGAATGCCAGCCACTTTTATTCCTGTCTTGCTGAGAATTCTGCGTAAGCTTTCCAAGGTTCCCTCCTTGTATCATGATTCAACACCTGTCCACCCGGATATCTGGAAAATTCTACTTCCCCAACGACGACAAATAGAAGAGAACAAAGAAAACTATCCGACTCAAGTTTCGAAGTCGTGTGATTATAATTGATGACATGATTATGAACAGTAATAAATTTTATCCGAAACCTTGTCATCCAGTAAATAATACTGTTACACTCACTGTGTGATATATCTAATAAACAAACTAATGTAGAATTTCACAGTTTGAGTTGCCACACTTCATGTAGCACACAAAAGTAGACAAATGACCGAGAGAGGGGGGAAAGCAATTCAACATAACAGTAATAAGCAGAAACGTGAAGGAGAAAGAATAGTAACATGGAAAAACATGACGGTTTAATGGATGTGACAGGTCACAAAGAGTGAATGTATCTGCACCAGCCATTGGTATCGAATTCTAGACATATCACCGAAAGTCACTAGCTATCGGTTCTTGGAATCCTGACGACTACAAACAAGAAGCCGACATACATCTCGATGTCGCTTAAACTAACTGTCAAGGTTTTTATGGACTGATTTCAAGTTTTAGTTTGACGTCAATCTGACCAATCCTATGTCAACTAACATTGCCTGTCGAGAAAGGAGACGGGGCTAAGGATGCACGCGTAACACATGCCCTAACCAACTCCACCGATGTAGGCTTACAAGCTTATGGATTAACTTTCCCTCCTTACTTAGCAATAGACGCTTAACCGCAATATTACTCACTTAGTTATACCAACTAACACGGCAGGTAGAACGCAGACACCTATGATCAAAGACAGCCAGATAGACAAGCTTTTAATGTCTTCTACATTCAATGGTCATGTCTCGCTCACAGTAAGCATAAAGGAGGATGGAGCCGTACACACATCCTTTGTTGGATACATTGATATCACATCTACGTTATAGATGCTGCAGCTTAGCAAATAATATCACACAAACCTTTTGAATTCATGCTGAGATTTTGTCAACAATCAGCCAGTTGGGGCTGGTTGATGCAAATTCCTAAATAAGTGAAGCAGTCAACACGTTCCACCAACCACTTCATTCCTGTCTATCTTTAAGCTAGGAATGAGTCAATGTGGTCCACTCCTGTAGCATTATCATCTTATATTTGACAGGAGCAGGTGAATTGCATGCCAAACCTTTGAAGACTGCTGCTCACCTCAAGGTATTCAGAAAACTCAACCGCATTTTGTCAGCTTCTTCACCAAGGAGGACAATATCATCCGCATATTTTAAGTCAACAAGACTACTCCCTGATAACAAATCAATCTTTAAGTCGCTGAAGTCAGTTAGGATCATTAATCAGTTCGAAAGTTGTGAGTACTCACTCATGAAGAGCATTAACATAGGATGAAACAGTTTTGCGAGGCTTTCATCGCTCTACTAGGCAACATCTTCAGCCAATACTTCAATTTGAAGTGAGCTTTTAGATTTTTCCACGAGTTTATTAATCATCTCTTCCGGTGACCTGAACTTGGACGCGATTGGTTGTTTTTGTGTTTTCACACCTTCTAGGTTACTCCTATTGGTACTGATTGTTTCTTTGACTTGAACTTAAACCCTTTGTGTGTGAGGTTTCTTTCTTATCGGTTGATAAATTTTGTCTTTCTCGATGTGTCTATTGATTGATGATTTACTGGAATACCAGGCTGGCTTCTGAAAATTCTCTAGCATTCTTGTTGTTTCCTCTGTCTAATATTTTAACACTGGTTGTCCCATTCGAAATAATGTCCGTGGTTGTCTGTATGCAGAGTGCTATGAGGGAGTGGATATCATGTCTCTTGACGGCTAGTTTATGATCATGGATACGAAGACGAAGGGGGCGTCCACTTTGGCCAATGTAGTGTTTTTCGCAGTTGTTACAATTTATTTTGTAGATGATGTTGGTTTTATGTTCTTTTGCTGTTGAGTCTTTTGGTTGACATAGAACTGAGTGAAGTGATTTTGTCGGTTTGTGTGCGACGTCAATTCCTAAAGGTCTGAAGAATCTTGTAGTGATTTCTAAGATGTCCTTTATATATGGTAAGGCGATTTTCTTTATGCTCTCCTGTCAACCAAAAGACTCAACAGCGAAAGAACATAAAACCAACATCATCTACAAAATAAATTGTAACAACTGCGAAAAACACTACATTGGCCAAAGTGGACGCCCCCTTCGTCTTCGTATCCATGATCATAAACTAGCCGTCAAGAGACATGATATCCACTCCCTCATAGCACTCTGCATACAGACAACCACGGACATTATTTCGAATGGGACAACCAGTGTTAAAATATTAGACAGAGGAAACAACAAGAATGCTAGAGAATTTTCAGAAGCCAGCCTGGTATTCCAGTAAATCATCAATCAATAGACGCATCGAAATAGACGAAATTTATCAACCGATAAGAAAGAAACCTCACACACAAAGGGTTTAAGTTCAAGTCAAAGAAACAATCAGTACCAATAGGAGTAACCTAGAAGGTGTGAAGACACAAAAACAACCAATCGCGTCCAAGTTCAGGTCACCGGAAGAGATGATTAATAAACTCGTGGAGAAATCTAAAAGCTCAGTATAGCAAATTGAAGTATTCGCTGAAGATGTCGCCTATTAGGGCGATGAAAGCTTCGCAAATTAACTATCCAGCTCAGAGAACACAACGACACCAAAATC